TATCTACATATATTATTCAAGTTTGAAAACGGAGAATTGACTTTGTTGCGCCTCTCCCACTAGCAGTTATTTTGGCTGTTCTATAAAAGTAATTTATTTAGTCTATCTACACTTGGCTAGTATGAGATCGCGATTGGGACTGCGTTCACTCTGTTGGCATTAGAGATGAGCGTGAGCATTTATGAATTCCTCGTGAGTTTCACGATCACTGATAAGTGTATGTGTGCGCATATATGTACACATACACATACATACATATAATTTTATATAAACATGGTATTATATTTTTTATTGTCTAACATGTCTGTACCTATGAACGCTCATATTTCTGTTGCTTTCACAATTTACACCCATATCAGGAATCGTATTGTATTATCACGGCCTTCTTACACACGTATTTTTAAAGTTGTATATATAAATATATATGAAGCATGGCAGAGCTATAATCACAAACACAAAGATATAATGATTTTCAGATCGTGTCGCAAACACGTGTGCAGATATTTTTTTTTATGACTATCGCCTTTAACGATCGTCTCACATCACGGTCACGCACGCATCTCTAATTGGCAGCAACAACTGGCCAAAGGCAAAGACGAAAAATATTCGGATATTATCTAAAAGTTCCGCACTTGGTAGAAGAAAAAATTAGAACAATAGAAAATTACCTCCCCCTTGGATTAGATACGATTTCAGACCAGGTCATTGTACAATGAATTTCAGAGGAATGCAAAATGACGCGCGGTTAAAAAATAATATTTTTTCTTATCGACGCTCCTGCATTTAACGTTGTCATCGCTGCCGCCGCCTTCTGGCGACTAATTGACTGAGTTTCGAGTACAAAGCACTCAATTTCTATTTGAATAGGAGCACTCATTCACACACACACACACACACACACACACACACACACACACACACACGAACATACTCACAGACACATGCAAACGTATTACATGCGTGTACTACATTCACGCTCAGCGGCGCAGAGCAGAGTTGCCAGATATCAAACAGTATGTACAATAGACTATGTAAGCCGATGCCTGTAAGTAACCAAAGGCAAGCACGTGGATATACTAATCAAATGGGTCACGCCGAATTATTTAATGCAGTATTAATTACCACCACCAGCTAAAACCATCCCACGATAACATTACCCTTTGCTGCTGGTGGCAACGCTGCAAAAACAGCAAGGTAGCACAAGAAAGCGGACAGGAAGGGGGGTTGAACGTACTCCTGCAATTTTTTTTCTTTCTTTCTGGATGGCACGACGCAGCCCAACACGCTGCTTCGACTGAACGGCTTTAAATCATATTACTAAGTGATTGAATTGAAGCGCAACACACAATAATAGTAATAACATTAGCAACACATTGATATGAGCAATGACCTTGCCACAAAGGATCACTAATAAAGTGTAATTCGGAGTGTGTCTGTGCGAGTGGGTCTGCGTGTGAAAGAAGAGGGAAGTGGAGAGTCGCTCATCATTCGACAATCAACATGATTAGAGTGACCTTAATTTTAAATGTAATATGAGCACGAACGAGAACTAATTTGCATGTGGCAATGGGGCTAACTAATGCGTTTATCGTCTATCGATCGACGATACATGCATTGCATTGTTGCATCCGATTATGTGGAGACCGCGCCAAACATTCAAGTGTTATCGTGTCTATGATTTCAAGCTGATTGTAGGTGTAGTTGCTGGATCGCATTAATAGCACTTGAAGAACAATTATTACGGCTGCGTTCGGCAACGTCACAACCGCTCAGCGCGACACACAATCTCTTTCTCTCTCAAGCGGTCACACACACATACAGCATCATCATCATCTTCATCGATGGTGAGAGTCGAGTGGTGAAACATAAGTTTAGCTATTTACTAATTCTACTTTAACAGGTCGGTTTAACTGAACACCCGATTAGGTACAAATTGCTGGCAATAATCTTAGCAAATGGTCGTAGTATTTTCTAATCAAGAAAATTTAGTTACTATTGCTATATCTTCACTCAAACGTACGATGTTGGAGGGGAGTAACGCATAGTGTTGTTTAGAGCAAATTTTTTTCAGTTATATTTTACTTTGTGCCAACAAAAATTTATCACCACCTCCGCCGCGTGCGCTCACACCAACGACCATAGCCACGCACTCACACACAGTTAAGAAGGCACACATATCTATGAGAGAAATATATATATATATGTGTGTGCGGCTGTATAAAGGTGCATAGCCCGTAGCACACAAACAACTTTTACACGCACGCTCTCACGCTCACTGCTCTTCTCTTTTGGCGCTCGCTCATCCAAGCAGCTGCCCCCGCCACCCGAGTAGGCGAACCAACCCAACATCCAACCAACCAACCAATCCACTCGCCGACTGACTGTCGACTGTGATGACGACGGCGGCGTCGACGGTGACGATGGCGCAAACGACTGACCGACAGTCGAGCCGACGAAACGACACGACCACGATACGACGACCAGTGGTGGCATGTATGTATGTATGTAGCAATTTGTATGTTTACTTGTAGTATCTCAGCAGGCGGGTAAGTTTGTTTCACACACACTGAGGCCGTCACTCTCGCTGCGTTCCGAGTTGTCGCCTCTGACTTTTCTATTGCTATTGCATCTGTTTCTTCTACTTTGGCGCCGCTGGCCAACCAACCTTTCAGTTCAAAAGTAAAAAACTAACTGAGCCGCTGCGATTGTTGTTATTTTTCGTAAATATCGATAAATCGATTGATAGATAGGCAGGGTTGTTGCTTACAGAACGGAACAGAGTTGGTTTGAGTTGTTTTTTTTTTTTATTTTGGACGTCGCTAAATTGCGTAGTCAGCTGCTAAATGAAATTTTTATTGAAAATATGTTACTTTAGAATAAAACTCAAGTAAACGATGGACCCACAAAATGTGTTAATCAATGTGAAGATTACATTTTTGTGTAACACATTCAGACACTGACCAAAGAACACATAGACTAGACATGTAGAGCAACGTTTTTCCACGCCGCAAAATCTGTGTGGCAGGTCCCAGCCAACTTCGTATTCGCTCGGCTTGGTATTGGCTGGCTCGGGTAATGAAAGATAGCACGACGAAATCAGTGCGCTCTAAGCACGCAAACGAAATGGTCATGCATGC